AAAAAGCAATAAAAACTGAACATATTTATTTCCTACTTGCAAATTATTTTACATCCCCTTTTCAAACTTAAAGTTCCTAGTTTTGTATTGTTGTTGATGATTAAAAGTATTATAGCGATGAGGGAGGCATAGACTGAAGTCCAAGTTTAGTTTCGACTTTCAACCATAAAATCAATAGGTATTGCAAATGGCCAAATGGGTCGATTTTGGATCAATTTGGTTCACAATTCACAATTGTATCATAGCATTTTGTTCATTTGGATAGTTTAAATAGAAAGATTATTAAAGATACATATTTATGTAATATTGAGTGAAATTAAAGGGGCATGTAAGTTTAGGTATAGCCAGTTAAGGTTCGGTGGGCCTGGCCCAAAATAAAATTTATTAATATTATGTATCACATTTATAATTGAATCATTACATCAATGACTTTAAGTTGGATTTTTAAAATTAAAAAATAAAACAATATAAATGTAGATTTACCATACATTAATGACTATTATTATATGAATATAATGAATCATCTAATTTTTATACTCCTTGAGTATTATATTAATAAAAAACATAAAATTATAAACAAAGTAAAAAAATTTAAAATGGACAACACAAATGTTATATACCATATAAATTGATATTTTTAGAGAGTTATTGTACAAATGAAATACATAATATATTTATACAATAAAATACATGTACGTGTAGATTATTTCATCTAATAATTTTTCACTTATAAGCAAATACTTATATGGTATTATTTCATTATAAAAATATGTGGTCATTACTAAAATATCACAATCGCTTATTACACATTAATTAGAATGATTATTTTTTTTTTTTCACAAATATGAAGGTAAAATAAAGAACCATTGCATCTCAATAGACTAATGTATAAAATTTATCTATGTTACAACAATTAAAATTTTAATTTTGAATAATAATTGAAGAAAAAAACATATGTTAATTAAACTAACATTAATTTACATTATTAAAATGAATGTAGAAAAAAATAGGTAAGATTTTTTATGAATTAATAATGGAATTCCTACAAATGAAAGCATAAAATAATAGATATGATTATGATTTATTTTTATACATTTATTTCTAAGGCAAATTCAAATCTATGTATTACTTTACTTCTAATAATTCCTTAAAAATCAAATTTAATGTACTAATTACCAAAAGAAAAGATATATTGTTGTAGTGGTTACATAAAATATGTAATATTACTTTTGCCAAATTAACAAATAGTGCAATTATACTAATTTTTAAGACAACCATTATAACTTTATTAAATATGAACTAAAATATTAATTACAAATCAATAGATGTAACCACAAATAAAATAGAAGTTGAAACATACTATAAATAGCTCAAAAATATGGGCGGGAAAAAAGTAGGCTATTGCATTAATGTAATAGCCTACAATTATATATATATAAATTACTAACTTTAAAATCATTAACTTCTATACCTAAACAATTTATGTTATCCATTACGTGAATTGGCATAATTTTAACAGTAGATATTGCATTTAAATAATCAAGATTTATTTCAGATGCAATTAATGTTATGCAATATATCATAATTAAGAAATAAAATATTAACGTTGCAATTAGAGGGCCTCAATCAGATATGACATGTGATATCACTAAATTAAATTAATTTTTATAACTAGGATATTTGTATTAATTTGATAAAATCATTTGAAAGTTCAGTTAGAAGTAAAAATGATATTTATTAAACCACTCAAGTTATTGTTTGACTGGTTGATGATTTACTGATGGAGTCAGTGGCTGAACCATTTTGAACTGTTACTCATTATAATAGATATAATATTTTAAGCAGTAAAATTCATGTATAAAAAACTTTTTTTTTTTATAAAATTGAATAATCTTGGATATAAGATTTTTTTTTCTTTGGATTTTTTTGGTTTGGTTAATTTTGAAAAATGTGATATTGTTAGTTGTTAGTGGACATATTAAAATAATATTTAAAATAAATTAATTAAAATTGATTTGATAAAATTAAGAGAGATATAATGTAAAGTGATGGTTAATAAAAATTATGTGAGTTGATGCGGTGTCTAAGAATGATTTATTGATATTATTTAATTATATTGATAATATTGATAATAGTGTTTGGATTAAAGTTCAATTAAAAAAAGTTGTTGAGTTAAAAATATTTTTTTTTTAAAATTTTTGTATCCAAGCATCCGCCAAAATTCATAAACTGATAAACATGCTAGGTTATACACATCCAAAATATTTAGATGTGTAATTATTTACATTATATCTATATATATATATTTAAAAAAAAAAAAAAAATTAAACTTGTCCAACCCATAGTTTTTTACCGTTTTGACTGATTTTTAAGTGATCCAATCAATTTTCACAATCGGTTTTTAAGAGGATGGCCGGTTCAGCTGGCCGGTTGGATTTCAACAACCATAATTTTGAAGCATATATAATTAGCTCAGATACCATTGTACCAATGTAGTTGAATAACGATTTGTGAAAAATTATCAGTTATATCATTATATATATAATTTATTCCCAAAATCATTATATTGCTATTTTTGTTTCAAATCCATTTTCATTAAATATAGTTTCATACACTATCAGCATACCTGACTGAAACTAAAAAAAAAAAA